CTGTCTGCCTGCCTGTCTGCCTGCCTGTCTGTCTGTAAAAAGTGTTTTTATTTGCCATTTGCTTATCTCCAAAAGGCATTTGAATGATTGTGCAGTTCTCTATACAAATATGTACATTATAATAAATAATAAAAAGGGATGCCTGATAGCTCCCTGGTTAGAGATGGTGGCCCATATGAGACGTTCGCTGCATAGTAACAGGTGGGAGTGGGTGTGAGCTGAGTCACTGAATGAGGTGTGGTTGGTGGAGTTCTCGTTGGATGTTTTAACTCACACATCAGACGGGTTGCCAGGAGGTTTGTACTTCAGCATCCCCAGCAGAGCACACATTCTCCTTATGGTTTGTTCTGGCAGTTCTTCACGGATATCCATAGCATGCTGAAGGCAAAAAGAGCAGCACAGGTGGAAGGGGTCAGTCAGTAAAGAACGTTGCACTAGGTCAGGATTCATTGAAACAGCTGAACCTCTTCTGTGGCTAATGTTTATTTCATTAGAGATCATTCATCCTTAAGTCAAGCAGCAGAAGTTAAATGAACAGGGTTCATACACTTTTTCACTAATGATTTTCAATGACTTCTCCAGGACCTTTACCTCATTTTCCATGGCCAAAAAAATTACTCTTTCTCAGCGGTACCACTGAAAATGGTTTATTTTAACATGGAACAGGAAAATAAGGTCTGCATATGAAACATGTCGTGCCTCTCTAAATCATACTTAGCTTCTACAGCTAAAGCAACTAAAATCTCTCACCAGCAAAATACCTCCACAGTTAATGCCATTTTACGTTTCATTACTATACGATACAGTATTTATTATCATTATAGTATTACTATTCCTGCGATTAGATAAAACAAATTATATTTGATGCAACTTCAGTTAAAATCCATGACTTTTCCAAAACTTTGGGAAAAATATTGTTTTCCATAACTTTTCCAGGGCCTGGAATAAGCACTTTGAATTTCCATGACTTTTCCAGGTTTTTAATGACCTTAAGAACCCTGACTGACAAAATACTAAATATGTTTATACAAGTGCGCAGAGGGCAACTTTAGAATATTGTGGCATAAATGAATATAATACACACTTCTCCAGCCCCATTACTGCACACACAAAAAGTTGCCTCTGAGATGCAGTGGAGTAGAAATCTCAGAAAATGCAGGTACTCAAGTAAAGTACAATTAATACGTAATTATGTCCATATATAAGTTGCAGCAAATAGCCAGAGGTGAAATAAGTACTGAGATCCTTTACTTAAGCAAAAGTACAAATACCATGGTCTTAAAATACTCCACTACTAGTAAAAGTCCTGATTTCAAAATGTGACTTTAGTAAAAGTACACAAGTATTAGAATCAAAATATACTTAAAGTACAATACGTCTACTCATCCTGCACAATGACCCATAATACAAAAAATATATAAAGTACAGAAGATGTATTATCTGCTAAATGTACCTAGGTATCCAAAGTAATAGTCCTCGTCATGCTGAATGGATCTTTTCACAGTATTATATTTTTGATGGTTATTATATGATCATGTTTTTATGCAGACACATTAGTTCAGATGAATTCAAGAATACCACCCTCAGAATGATAGTTTACAACATGTCACACTGTTTGCACATCTGTACTGAGTAGAGCCTTGGTTCTTATTGAAGCTAGTCTCTCACCTTTGGGTCTATTTCAGCCAGAACATCGTTGAGGATCTGCAGCAGCTGCATGGGGTCCAGAGAGTCAAACGTGATCAGGTTGAAGCTCTTCTTGAACGGCTCTCTGTTGAGCTGCTCCACGATGAACCTCAGCTGCTCACTCATCTTGGGGGATATACAACTAACTTAACAACTGAATCCTCTTGTGTTCTGGATTAGCCTCCGAGCTAACGCTTAGCTTAAGCTACCTAGCTCTCTGACGTCGACTAACAAGCCATTTCACCTGCAAATAAATGTTTTACAAATAAATCCACCCGACCCCCTGGTGACGGAAGCAAACAACTACTTACAAATATTACAGTCAAGTTTACAATCCGTGTCTTATTTCGCTGTTGTTGCTTCTTTCGCTGACTAGTTTGCGGACAGAAAGTTAGCAGTTGTCGTCACCATGGTAACCAGAGAGGCGTCGCGGATTGGTTGCTAACCGGAAGCAGCGTTGACAGTATGATTAGAGAGAGTTCGGTTGCGCTGAATATGCGCAATTAGTCACTAAATTAAACTTTAGACTGTTCATATATAAAGAGTTCTACAACCAAACAGTGGTGTAAAGTAGAAGCTTTTCTCCTTGTGTTTGTGAGCAATTGCTGTTTTTATTAACTTCCAAGTGGATTCTGGGTGGGTGGGGGCTGGGCAGTGGCGGTTCTAGAACATTTTACATGGGGTGGCAAGGGGAGGGCAAGAGGTCATGGTGGCATGGGAGGGCGGACCGTACGTGGTATTTTATACTGTATAAAACCTATTTATTGTTAAATCATGGCCTAACACAAGTGTTCTTAATGCACAAGAGAAACAAGGTGTTCAGACACACAAACTAACATATAGTAT